ATAAATATAGGTATATATTATATATAATAATAATATGTATAGGCGTTTAAAAGGGTGCACGACACACTCGTATTCATCTCTCTCCCTTCCTCTGCTCAGTGTGTGTGCCACTCTACCCCTCTGTCTCACTGGTCCCTCTCCCGTAAAATCGCTCCAGCCGCCGCCGTTTAACGACAAGTCACATGTGCGGTGTGCGCCGAGGAGCAATAATTATACCCCGCGGTCGCCGGTTTAAAGTGTTTTTAACGCGAGATTTATGGCGGCCGTGTCGTCGGGGAGAACGAGGATCTAAGCCAGCCAGCCCTTGACGTCGTTATCGTTATTATTGTTTGGCTTCTCAGAGACCCGATTATAATATACCTTTACTCTCGAAAATATTATTTCCAAAATCGGATTGTTTTAGTTTCTGTACTTTTGTAGTGTACACATTCAATACAATTTTACCCGTTCCTGGTTTGTTTTCATTAAGCAAATAACAAATATTAAGTTTGATCATATTATTAACCGTATAATTTATATGTTTAATGTATAGGTATCAATTATTATTTGTTACACAATAGGTGATGATTATGACAGAGGGAACAATAAAATATTTAAAACCTTGATGATATTGTGTGAATCTGTTTGCCTCTATTAAATATGTAAACTTTATTTCGGAAAAAAAAAGATTTAAATATTTTAAAGTCCCGCTTAAAATTTTATTTGGTCTCTGCCTATTTGTATACAAAAAAATCGTTTCGCGTCTCGATTTCCTGGCGATAAGCTATTGCCTCAGAGGTATCTAGATGGATTTTCTGGCCGTATCCTATACTCGTGTACGATTTGAATTCTGCGGCTTTTGCACAACAACGGTCGAGCGTAATTCGTGACGGCTTTTTACCTCATCTTGCAAACGCGTTCGATTTCCAAAAAAAAAATAAAAATAATCCCACCCCCGAGAACATCGCGAGTCCTTTTCCGAGTCTTTGCAGATCGGACTCGGCATCGCACACACACGCGACGATTATTATTATTATTATTCTTATCCGACATCGGTTTCGGCGAGATCTTATTCGTATACGTTTAAAACAATATTATTGTTATTATTATTGTTATTATACATTGTTGTAGCTATACTAAGCCGTTTGTGTTCTTATCTCCGTACACAACAAACACCCTACGAGCTATTCCCCTCGGACTATGTTTGGTTTTCGCCTACTAATAAATTTGTTTGATTTTAATACTCGCGCCGCCTTAAACACTGGACGAACTACCCAAGCGCGATAATAATAATATGTCTGCCGATTAATAATGTGTTCGTAAACATTATTCGTCCCGTCAGTCTTTTGTTGCTTTTAAACCCCCGTGGAACTGGAGGGGTGCATAAACATATACTTTGGTGGGGACGATGGACTTCGCGCTCATAATATTATATGATTTCAAGCAAGGCGTAGGTACATGGGTAAATATAATATTATATACGACAATACCTGTTATAGGGATTTATGTATCGCGGACTGAGGTATATATTTATTTTTTTTTTTTAAACGACAATCGTTTGGACAAATACGAAATTGGCAATCAAAACAAATGTATAGTATCCGAAATCGACAGTCAAAGCGACGATATGTGTATTTTCTCTGGTCGTTGTCGATTTTCCTGATATATTTTTGCTCAGTACATTTTCGTATCGACAAGCCAGTTCCAATCACCCCCCCCCCCCAACACTGTTTAACATTATTATACTGCTGTATATATTTTATAATATAATAAAGGTATAGTGTATTATTATATATTTATAATATGTATACCTATATGTAGGTATACATACCTAAGGTACACGCGTTGTCATTTTTACTTAGAAATACATTCCATCATTCGAACAACTTCTTGATTACGCTCTGGGCAATTTAACATAGTACACATTATATGAGATGTGTAATTTCGACTCGAAACCTGTTTGAAAATGGTTTTTATTTTTTCTCTTAAGTGTGCATCATAATTAATTCGACCCTGTAACTATTTCATACATTCTGTAATCGACAATCAATACCAGTAGTGCATTTTCGATTCATAGTTTATAAGCACTTATGTATCATTATTCAACAAATTATATGATTGAATTCCCGAGGTTTCGCTAAACCGGCTGAACCATAACCTATAAAACGTATTGGAAACGAATTCCACATATCAACAGTGTATATTAGTTTTAATTAACGTTTTACATTATCTGCTGGGAATTGATTATAATACAGGTATTGCCAATTGTAATGGCATAATATATCAATTGATATAAGGTTTTTTTTTTTTACCTCACGATTTTATTATAATTTTGAAATATTAAAATAAAAAACAAATTTTTCGGTACCTAGCTACTCATTACTCAGTCCTCTATGCAGGGTACCGTTCAGTAATTGAGGAATATTGTGTTATCTTAAATGCTCGTATACACATATTATCACGTTCAGGTCCATGATGTATATTATCGACTATCGCTGTGGACAAAGACACTGTCAAGTCCATATAGAACCAGTGAGTTACCAAGTTTGACTCGGTAGATCAGTCTGAATTTTGGTAAATTAATTATAACATTTAATTGGTCCAACCCATTTAAACGAGTTTTGGACCGGTAAAAGTTCAAAACTCAGTGGGCCGGTAGGTACTTGCCTTTTCCTGGACTGGGCAATGTTGTTTAAATAAATTATATATTATACATTCATTAATGACTATTCTCATGATGACGTGTTATAAATTTTATACCATATTATAATACCCGTCATAAACGTTGAGTACCTTGTATAGAAAAATAATAGAAAACACATGCAAACACAATATTGAGTGCAATTAAAGTTAAAAACAAAATGTCGATTAATGTCGAACCACTTTGAACCGCGGACGGCTTGATTTTATTATCTCAAATAAAGTTAGATTTTTAAAAAATATAAATTACTACACTCACTCGTTCATTATAGTAGGTACCTAAGCTATATAAATAGTTTAAAATAGGTACGTAGTAAATAGGTAAGTATACATCAGGAAATTAGTGAATTAATTTTGAAACTAAAATAAACGTATTTGGATTTAGGTTTACATAATATACATTGCACCTATCGCATTCCTAACAGTTAATCTAGTCTTTTATTTCATGAAATTCCATTAGCTTTATTATATTTATAATTATATATTATTCGTCGTATAATTTAGTTTATGACACAGCGCCGTTAAATTTTATCACTTTTTTGTTATCTATTCACTTGTCGTCCGTCTCACATTTGTATAAATTGATTTTTCTTCCATTAAAAAAAAACCACTTGTATAATAAGGTTTTTACGTTTTCATGTCGTATACAATTTGTGTCAAATCTCAAAATATATAGTCATTAAAGTAATAAAATAAACACTTTTATGGCTTGAACCATGACTATACGTCAATATTGAAATGTATTTAGTAATGTATATAAGTGTATAACGACACTGTATGATATATTATATTTTATCGTAGTCTGATATTTTGTCAGAATAACACAAGTTATGTTATTTTTCGTAAAATATATTATGCATAGAATATTAAAACTAATGGTCGTCGTCATATTTCGTAGTGATGAGTTGCGTCGGTTCGTTTCCCCTCTATAATTTTGACACTCGTTTGCTTTTATTTTCTTTCGTTGTAGGGATTTTCATCGCATATTTACGTCAAATTATATAATATTACTTCCAATTTAGAAATGGTTTTTGTCTTCGTCGGTTGAAAAACAAATTTTCATTTGTAAAATATTATATAATGATAATTTTTAGCATTCACAAATATACGACTAAATGAAGCTGCAATATCACCTAATTTACGAATGCTGATTTGTGATAATAAAACATCCCTATCGTTACATTGATTATTCACAAGTTGTTCGCCATCGTGACAGCTTATTATTATATTGTATTTACATAATTCGTGTAATAACAGCTCATTATCGCGATGACGTTGTACAATGTTTGTGTGAACAATATAAAAATAATAATAAAAAACAAATAAAATCGCAATGTAATTTAATAATAATTACCTAGGTAGGTACTTGATTCGTTTGAACATACGAAAAACTGTGTGTTTATGTTTATACGGTCCAGCACACTATAATAATATAACCTGCAGTAGGGTCATTTTACGGCCGAAGGGGTTTTCGACTTCGATCCGAGTCCATCCGGGGCCGCGGAATGGCGTGATGTGCTGATGTGCAATAATAGCACTTTCGTTTGATATGGAATTCGATTATTGAACCTGCCACGGTGTGCATGGGTTTTAATTACCTATTTGAAGTTGTTTTTGAAATACTGAGCACGAACCTATGACAAAAAACTGCAAGTTTATCCGATGTCAATAATGTACTTACCTATTATTATTATAGTATATTCCGCCAAACGCATTCGAAACAAAACAGAAAAAAAAATCTTCATGCTATAACGTAAATTCCTGCAAAGCTAACTATATTGTACGCATATATACGTTAAGAGCTCAAATCTAATGATTGAGAAGAATATTCTGAATAGGATTTTTTTATTCTTGGTTTTGTTATGCATGATTTCTCGTCTTCTCAACTTTCAAATACAAAGTCTTAACATATGTCGAGAGGTGTTTGTCGAGAACGACGACTATAACTATATTGTTATTGATTTTATTTCCCTGCAGGTGGCTTAGATATCTGTAGATTTTAGCACTCGATGAAAGTTCCGCACGTTTGGTTGACTGCGTTGTACGTTTTAATAATAAATAATATATAATAATATGTACAGAGTGCACCAACCTGAAAGACGAGAAAAATTGTATTGTAATTTCGGTGTAAAATTGTGAAAACCCACACATTGTAATGTTATATTAAATTGATGTACAACACTTATATACCTTTAATATATTACCTATAACATATTATAGATAATAAAATCGGGGTTACTCAAATGTCGCAGGCACAGCTATAATATTTTATTTATTTTCTACAGCTTTATATGAATGAAACCTCTTTCGTTTTTCCACAGTGTCAAGAGACCCTGCAACCTGGCGACATGGCGGTGACAGCGAGCAGAGTCGGGTCGGGCGCGGCGTGGCATCCGGCTTGCTTCACGTGCCGAGTGTGCAAAGAAATACTTGTCGACCTCATATACTTCTACAAAGACGACCACGTGTACTGCGGTCGACATCACGCGGAAACGCTCAAGCCCAGGTGTTCGGCTTGTGATGAGGTATAGTATAATATTATACACAATATATTACAATATTCTGCCTTCCGTTTTAAATCTTGATCCACGTGCAGCCATGCGGACGTGATGGTATACAGGTTACAGCAATTTTTCTCATATAATATTGTGTTGGGTTTCGCCCGCGGTCTATAAACTTTGTCCACCGACCACTGAAAATGTCAACCACCCACCAAGACTGCACCGTCCTGATCCTCCCCCAATCGCGTCTTGTATTATCGTCTTGAGATGCCATTATACAATGACAAGACTATTTTACCGTATATCGTGGGGTTTTAAAGGGAAAATGTAATATAGTTAGACAATTTATATGGTTTACAACCCAATTTGAGATAAGAATGAAATACCCATTTTTATATAACAGTGCAATATGACGCAACAAACCAAAATCAGGACTAGAACATACCTATTGTAATCAACTATATATGAATTGTGTAGTTTTGCTCATAATAAACTCATATGAAATACGATAGTCATCTTAGGAAACGTACTTAATCACTGAACATATTTGACATTTTTCAACAAATGGGACTATACATACTATTGTATAAACTTATATTGAAATATTTTGCTCTACATCATATAATAGTCATCTTAATGAAACTATTTCAACACAATGAGTTGCAAAACATAAGATTATATTACCGCTTTTTCAGGAAATAACCTTACAGTCTTAATACACAAAATATTATAACTATTACTCGTTAAGTCCGTCAACCAGATCAAACTTAACGTTATATATTATGATTCACATATTACTGCATATACTTGTATAATCGCGTGAGGATGTGATCGCAGATAATCTTGGCTGACGAGTGTACGGAAGCAGAAGGTCGTGCTTGGCACATGAAACACTTTGCGTGCTTGGAGTGCGACAAGCAGCTCGGGGGCCAGAGGTACATCATGAGAGACGGTCGGCCTTACTGTCTGCAGTGTTTCGACGGCCTGTTTGCCGAGTACTGCGACTCTTGCGGAGACCCCATAAGCGTGGACCACGGTGAGTTATTTTTTACTAAACAAATTATTACCTAGGTATATACGATTTTTGTACGAAATTAACTGAATTTGAGGGGTAAACATTAGAGGGGTGGATGGAATTAGTGGACGACCCGACGACCAAACTTATAATGTTCTTTTATATTAATTATAGATTTGGTAATTAATGAGTTATAAGTACGTATTTATAATATATTATACGCCTATCAACTATCAAGTCATTATTATAGGACGAACGCATAAACGTTGCAACTTAAACAACTTTCGTATGCTATACCACATACACGTCGAGCAGTGAATACCTATTAAGTCTTCCGAAATTCTGTGATGTTAAGTACGCAATAACATCATTAAATACTCTCGAGCAGCTTGAGTTGCCCAAATTATTTTTTTCTAATTGAATCACGGATTTATAACGTGTTTTCACATTACACATTATACCCGTGTCGTGCAGTTAATAAAATCAGACCGGCGATCGTCGATATTTTCAACCATCCGCTTGTACAATTATATATACCTAGACAGTACTAGCTAGCAATACTAAACAGTTTTAACAGCAATATCGATGTACACGATAGTATTTCCTACACGACGAATTTAATATTACTTATTATATGTGCAGAATGCCCGACAGCCGATTCCACGTAGGTACGTGTTGTATCGTAATAATGTATAATAATAATTATTAATTATTGTCGAAACTCGAGTGTGAAAACGTGCGCACAAACACCAAAATAACACTTAAACTTTTGAGTTTTGACAGTGAAAGTTGTGCTCTGCGAATCGGAACCATTTTGATATCATATAAGTACAGTTCACCTCCACACCTGACACTCATTAGTACTGAGCGATATTGCATATATGCTTTTAAACGGGTATATACGACACGCGTATATTTGACCTGAACCTCTCCTACGTAGAATGTCGAAATCGAAAGTAACGTTCGTATCATATATCATAATTCATAGTGTATATAAAACATTCAACTATGGGGCTCGGCTTATTATTTTCCGGTCGATCGCATTGTGTTCCATAAGAACGGCTCAGAATGAATGAAATTACAATTTTTTTTGATTTTTCATTTCAAATAATTACTTTGACTGCTGTTTCTTAGGTACCTTTTAATCATATAGTATAATTAGTTATTTGAACGAGAATGGTTCACAACAAGGGTGGATCTAGAACCTGTGTACGGAGTTAGTATACTAACCATATAAGGGCACTTAAATTTAAAACATTTTTACGATGCTGATTTATAATAATTGATAAAAAATTATATTATATTTTTTTGTGAGTGGAGGACGGGGGGCACCTTGCCCCCAGTGCTTACCCTGGATATCCACCTTTTGCTCATAAAAATGATGAAAAGTTATGCATTTGAGGGACTTTTAATTTTATTTAATTCGACGTAACAGTATGTTTTATTTTTGATAGCTTATTCTGAATAAATTATTTTTATGAAGGTACATATAGATAGGCGCAAACGTGGATTTACGAGCATATTTTAATCGTGTGTAAAAAAAATATATAATAACAAAAGCACCGCGTTAAACTTTACTCGTGAAAAAGATAATATTTTGAGAAATGTTCGTACTGCGAATAGTTTAACAATATTATAATAATATCAAGTAGGCATACTATCTTCATAATAATAATATTAAACATATTATTATAAATCGATACGAATTTGTTTCCATTAAATAACGTATAAAAAACCCTACTCTGTCCGTATTCATGTGTAAGCGCTGCGTTGCATATACTGTCGTCGCGACGACGCGTATTACCTATAATAATACTTATAGTTACGTTTTCAGAGGCTAATTCAAATACCTGCTTTTCATATACACATAATATTTTATATACCTATAATGTATAATATACTTTGACCGAGTCGAGACTCGAGAGGCTGTTGCCTGTTTATACTGCCACACATGCCGCCCGTATTGTAAGTTTAACTATATAGGTACGCGTTGCTATTGTGTAAATAACGAGTCTCCCGCACGCTATATATTTACACGCTTTAATACGTCAGATACTCCGGAACAATACCTTATACGTATTATATATACATAATAATATAGGATACGCATTATACACTATACATATTAATATTATATTATTATATTATTATGTAGGTTAGATTATTGTTATACATATTATACTTTGCACGAGAACGCCGCGGTGTATAGGCTACACAAGCTACACAACAATCGTGAAAAACGATAGTCTTATATTAGTATACTATTATAGTACTATTGCAGTATGTTGTTGTGAGTGGTTAACACTTAACATACTGTACCACGGAGCTGCATCCTTGCCGAAAATAAAGTGCGAACTATTATTATGATAACAATAATATACTGCCGGGGTGAATGTGGATTTCGGGGTGACCATTTTAAAGACAAACGTTATTTACGAAAAACGTCGATGTTTCTCGTTTGAAACCTTTTTCGAAAATTTAAGACAATATCATCATAACATAGCTTATACGTCATGAAAATGCCAACCATAATCGCCGCAGTTCTACGTTATACATATTGCCCTTATTTTTTTTACACCATCATTTTACCTATTTTTGTGGCTATCAGTATGTTTTTCATTTCGTCGTCTCCTCGAACCGCTGTTTATAAAATGTTGATGCTCATAGTTATATGCCAAGTATTGAACGCATATAGCTTTTTAAATTCTTAGGTATCCATTTTTGTCCGATATTTATGTACAGACATCGACATTTTAGGCAAAAAATTTTCTGCTCGGTAGTTAAAAAATCAAAAGTAGTTGGCCATTTAAATCGATATTCAGCTGCAGCATGCCAGCATACAGTGATTGCGTAGGCAATCACGTCAATGCAAATATTACAACTGCGAGTAATATGATGGGTTGCAACTTACATTTTACGAGAAAAAAATTTCGATAAATCTCATGATATTTATGAAAACGACGAGAAAAATATTCCTCGGTGTCAGACGAATCGCCCTGTATATATTGTGGTACTCGGCGGATTAAAAAGGAAGAACATCGAGCTATCTGGGCAATACAGACGTCGAATTACTCCAAGCAGTGCGGGTTCGTTTGAGAAAACCCGTTTTGTATTATTATATTATATTATATTATAAAGAATACACCGTGTGCGTATACAAGATACCCGTGTTTTAACGACGACACATAAAACATTATAATATTATTATTATTGTTGTAATATATATTATGTATACGTGTATAACGAAGTGAAACCTTTTAAAGAGGACACCCGTGAGACCAAAAACAAAATCGTTCTTCCCGCGTACTCTATAACGCTATAATATAATATTATATTATATTATAATATATTATATTATTTACACAGTCAGCGGTCCGGGCGTATGAATTCTATATTATGGTATATACCTAGGTTTTGTTGCAATCGCGTGAGTGTACAAGACGTTATCCGTTCATTTGTACAAAAATGTTCAGGGTCAATGTGGACCGATTTTGGACGGGTAAAAAATAAAAACAAAAAAACCGTTTTTATATTACACACAATATTATACTACCTGTAGATTCCAAGTAGTCTTGCCGTGTATATTTTTCTGTATTATCAGAATGCTTTTCTTATAATGTCGATGTATAAACAGATCGCCCTGTACCTGCAAAAGCCGGATTAAGACTACATTGCCATACTTACACAAAGCTACAGTGTCCTTTGATGACTAATGTTTCGTCCCTATATAACTATACTATGTTTTACACAGACAATCTATTACTATTCTTATAGTATATTTAGTATAACCTAAAAAAATTTGTGGATGAAAAAAATTGTAATGAATTTGAAAATTTGTTTATAATACCTATATAATATCGATTACATTGTTACCTATGTATATAATTTTTCTAGGCCATTTGGCAATTTTTCCTTCCCGTATCGTATATGCGTGCCTTGACTATTACGTTTCCACGGCGGCTGTATTATATTAAAATAAATTATAATATATAATATCTATCTACTATCGGATTATCGCTAAACGTTCCAATACACATTGCGGCAGGTCACACACACATATTATACGTTCGTATAATACAATACGTCAGGGAACTCGAGATTTTGATATTATCAGCGGCCGTACCTAAACGATTTTATATATAAATAAATAATATGCACAAGTATATATAGATAGATCTAAATATTTCATTCGATAATATGTTATTATAATCGCTGTATACATATTATATATATACGGGGTGATACATATAACGAGACAGTTATATTCTTTTATACAGACACTAACGTTTTTAAAAACATTTCTTTTACGTATAATGTATTTTAAGTCGTTATAAAACAAATTTTTTTTTAGTTTTTACTGTTTTGAATGACAACATACATTTTTAATTTCATATTCGGATGCAGAATTGTATAGGTATTTTAAATTCATACGAGTGAATAGTGAACCAACAAATTCCGATTAGCGATAAATACCTCTGCACCACTCATCTAAACTTAGAATACTTATATTATCTCGTATACTATATAATCGTTGAAAATACGATTTTATAAAAAAAATAACTAAAGACAATAACTATACAAAAAATGTTGTTTTTTAACGAATTAATATTATGTAGAAAAATATTTTTAAAAACGTTAATAGTTAATAATTAACGCGTCTTGAATTAAATGGATCACCCGGTATACGCGCAGGTCCATACATAATATATAATATTGTATATACTCGTGAGTTTAGTATTATGTGTGTTGTGTATGTATATAATAATAATAATAATACGGAGTACGAGGTATATACTATTATATAGGTACTGTCTGTAAGACAATATTCAGATTTCTCGTAAATTAATTTCAAGATCCGTTCTCCGCCCTCGCGGCCATCGTTCGACAATCGCACAGCACGCTGCAGCGGACATTATATTATTATAAGCGTAATACGAATACTATCATACACATCGTAGGTATTATATTTCCACGGCGACTATTTAGTAGTGCACATCGCTGTGGCTGATAGCGTTATATTA